GGATGGATGGTTGGATGGACGGACGGATGGTTGGATAGATGGACAGACAGGTGGATGGGTAAATGAGTGCATGAGGCCACCAAAGTAGCCACAATAATGGCACCTCCACTGACAGAATGGCGGACTTAGTGTGTGATCTCCGTCGTCTTCATCCCTGCATTCGGCCACACATGCGCACTTATATTCAGTTCCTTTCAAAGCGAAGCTGAGGGGCTGAGTCATGTTCCGACTGAATGAGCCCACAGGGAAAGTTCAAGAGACCTGAGATATTTTGTCCAGGCAATGATGTGACTATTTTTAAACATTTTTAAATGCTTTCGGAGTAATCCCATGGAAACAATGGGGTCGCAGCAGGCAGGGCGTGCTGGCTCCTCGGCAGAACCAAGCACCGGCCCCAACCCAGAATCGTTGCGGTCCTCACCATCATGCATCTGCCTAAAAAAAAAAAAAGTTTCATTTAACAATATCCTTGAGGACACAGTAAAAAATAATTGTATTAAGACTTGACCCTTGACTACACAGCTTTTTCATAGTCTATGTGACAAAATCAGGAGGGCAGCCTTGGGTTGCTCGTGGAAATAAGGTGGCCGTGAGGAAGCAAACCTGTGAGGTCGTCTGCCTGCAGCTGAACCAGCCACTTTCCATGGAACGTTTCAAGAAAACGACTGACAAACTTTGACTTTTGAGAGACATTTTCTCAAAAGTGAACCAAATGAGTCTGAAAGAAAAGCTCTGACCTAGCAAAAATTAAAATTTTGGCAATCTCGTAATCACCTCTGTGAGCCTGAGAGCTTCCCCATTACTTAGAGTTTCGGTTTTGAGACTAGTGTAGTTATTGATGAATGTGATTTTGATATGATGGAATGTGTCAAATGTGAGGACAGATTTTCTTCCCAAACTTCATCCGAAACAGCATACTGTGGCAGAATGAATACAGAAGCACGTATGAGCACGCAGCTACCTTCCATCAAACCAGACATAAAAAGATTTCAAAGATGCAGAACAGGAACACTCTTCTCACTGTTTTGTTTTGTTTTGGAAAATATAGTAAAAATGTGATTTATGTGAACATATAATGAGTTTATCATTGTTATTTTTAAGTGAATTTAAAATGTGTATTTCAGAAATTTCCCTGTTTTAATATCTATTACAGTAAATATCAACAGCTATAACTCATATAAACAAAAGCTCCTTGAGATATTCAAAAATTATCAAGGGTACAAAGGGCTCCAAAGTCCAAAGTTTGAGAACCACTGCTGTGGACTCATCTGAAGCACGGTTGTCTCCTCTAATCCTTAGATTCTCCACGTTGGTGCATTCGTGGAACTTAGAAAGAGTAACTACACATGCTTCCTGAAATTCCTCGATATTAAGTTGCAAAGTCTGCTTTTTAAAATGTAGAAATTATAGGGTGACACACAAAAAATTTACTATTTGAAACCCATTCAAAATGGAGCCTAGCCTTACGGAAACCAAAACTTGCCCGCGTATTTCATGCACTATTACTAAATTTGTCATCTGAACGACTCCAGCCTTCTGTTTAGTTTCAAAATCCTGTGTTTATCCCAAGTTTTAAACAGGAAGAAGTGATTTGTGCTTCTGTCTTCATTCCTAACTCAAGCACAGAGTACCTCAATAAATAAAAAAAAAAAAAAAAAAAAAGAGGGAGAAGAGTACAATCTGTTCTAAAGAGAGGTGTGTCCGTCTTGGAGTAACAATTGCCTGGGGGAAGCAAACCTCTAGGAACATGGGCGGGTCCTGCTGCTCCTTGGAGGCACATGTGTCCAGCCGCAAGGGGCAGGGAGCTTCCACCCCAAGAGCCCTCCCCCATTTCAGTTACCATGGGCAGAGCCAGCCAGTGGGAAGTATAACAGAGACGACAGAGTTCATTCCTACTTGATTTCCCTCTTTTTCTTCCTCAGGAACTTAACCGGCACATTTCCTGAATACCCTAACGTGGAAGAAGGAGGGTCCGCCATTATCTTTTCCAACAAGACCCCACAACAGGTACGGAGATGCTTGAGAAATAAAACACAAATCTATTGTGATCCCATTTCTTTAAACTGTAACGTGAATGCGTTCATAGCGTCATTAGTTTTGGGTTATTCTCCTGCAAATATTTACATGGAAATATTTCGATGTTTCATCAATTATGTACTTTTAAATTTATTTCAAAATGAATTCGTTCTTCCTCCTGTCTTACCTTTGAAAGAGACATGACAGCACGTGGGGCTTACTTTCTTGGTAAATTCTGAGCAGCTTGATTTCAAGGGCCCTTAATGTTCTGGTCCCGCTTGCCTCCCAGGGTCATCAGCTGTCACCTCGTCCCCCATCTTCCGACCATGAGCCCCAGCAGTCCACTCGCCTGCCCTCCTCATGCCCCGTGTCACTGCACCTTCAGTGTCTTTGTGCACGTCATGCTCTCCTCTTAGGCCAGGCTGGCCTTCTCCCCTGCTTCATTCCTGCTCACCTGTCGAGAGTCAGGAGTCAGCTCTTTGCCATATTGACGTTCTTCCAGAGAAACATCTCTGTAGATGTTCCAGTGGCATCTGATGAAATTGAGTTCTAAGGCTGTTTTTAGAGATGTCTCAATAAACTAGAAATAGGAAAACTGTTCTTAACCTCAGAGTATTAATCATAGAAACCAAGAGAAAATTAGCATCATGCTCAACAGTAGAGCACTAGAAGCATTTCTATTAAAAGTGAAACTCATACTCATATACTCAAGCTGATATACTGGACCACATAAAACTCAAATGGCCAAAAATACCATAATTGGAAGTAAAAGCATATGATAAACTGGAGAAAATATTTGCAACACCGGTGACAATAGCTACCTTTCATATATAAAGGGTTCTTAGGAAATAATAAGAAAAATCTAAACACCTCAGTAGAAAAGAAGGCCAAATGTTAACTTAATTTTTAAAACTTTAAAACTCACTAGCAAAGAAACTCAAATATAAAATAATGTTACTATATCTCTTTTCACCTGTAGGATTGGTAAAAACTTTAAATCATAATCATCGCTGGAGTTGGTGAGCATGTGGAGAAAAGTCACTCCCACATATTATAACTGGACGCATAAATACATAAATTGGCATGACCTTTTTGAGGGACATGGACCAAGTGAACATCAGATGTTTAATGCGCATACTCTTTGACCCATAAGTGCTATTTAAGGAATTTATACGAAGCAAATAATAAGACAAGTTGCCATAGACCGGAGGCAACAAACTTTTGTCATAAGGGGCCAAATAATAAACATTTGAGCCTATGGAACACAGATCCTCTTCCACAAGTACTCAACTCTGCTATTCTAGCATGAAAATGGAAACAGACCATAGGTAATGAATGGGCATGGCTGTGTTTCAATAAAGTTTTATTTACAAACTGGGCAGCAGGCCAGATTTGGCCCATGCGTATGATTTGCCGACCCCTGCCACAGACGACTGAAACAGCTGTTGGGGGCCGCCCCGCTTACGGCACTGACAAAGACGGCAGGCTACGGTTCATGAGGAGGGAGCCAGTTAGGGCGCATGAAGCACTACACAGCAGTAAAAGCTCTGCTACAAATCAGGGTTTCTCCAGCTCAGCCCTCCTGACCCCACGGTCAGCCTCCCATCCCCCTGTGCTCCCTCGAGGGAGCTGGCAGGGTCCCAGGGACGTGCTCCTCCCCACCTCCCTGTCAGGAGCTGACACAGCTCCTCAGCCCTCGCTCCAGGCTCTGGCAGACTCCCGTCCTCCTCAGAACTCAGTGAACACATACTATCCCCCCTACCGTGTGGCAGTTCATCAAGCCCTGCCTTGAGTGACTGTCTTTTCGACCTGGTGTTATTTCCCTTTATTACCCGGTGAGGTCTTGTCGCTGCAGCTAAATTGTCAGGACCAAGCTGTGTCATGAAAGCCCATGGCCAGGGCCCAAATGTGTTTCATGTTAGTTCAGAAAGGTAATGATTACAGGATTAAGCATGTTGGTGCAATGTCTACAGTGTGTACACAAGAAACATTCAAGAGTAGGGTTAATGTCAGGGAAAACAAAAGAAGATGAAGATGTCTGGCTAATACATTAAAATAAGACAAAGAAGGCCACAAAGCAGCATGACTTGTGAAGACAGGTGATGGAAGAGCCCAAACAGGGTAGAGGTGATGAAACACTGTCCCACCACCTGCCAGGTCTGCAACCTCGGGGGGCTCCTTCCCTGTGCGCCTCCCTCCCTGGGCCGATGTAACGATTAGAGGAGGCGACTCGTGTAGTGTACCTGCAGCACTGCACATGGAAATCTCGCAGGACATCGTAATAATTGTCACGAAGGGGAGGAGGATGAAGAGACAGACCAAGCGTAACCATTATAGTATGTACATAAAGAGTCAACTTTATATTTGTTTAAAAACAAGCAATAAAGGGCACCTGGGTGGCTCAGTTGGTTAAGCGACTGCCTTCGGCTCAGGTCATGATCCTGGAGTCCCGGCATCGAGTCTCGCATTGGGCTCCCTGCTCGGCAGGGAGTCTGCTTCTCCCTCTGACCCTTCCCCCTCTCATGCTCTCTGTCTCTCATTCTCTCTCTTGCAAATAAATTAAAAAATCTTTAATAAAATAAAATAATAAAAATGAGCAATACAAACACTTTCTACAAAGTGAGCATAATCACGTCGATACCAACACTCCCAAAGAAGACCAAATACAAAGAAAATCACAGATTAGTCTTCCTTACAAGTATTAATGCAAAAACTCAAACTGAAATATTAGCATGCCAAAACCAGCAACACATTAAATAAGCAAAACACCACAATCGAGTGGCATTTATTCCAGAATGCAAGAATGGCTGGGGTTGAGGATGTCTGTGGATACACTGCATCCTATAAAGAGATCCACAGTGCATCTCTGTGGATGCTGATGGGGTCTTTTACAAATTCAACATCCATTCTTGATTTTTAAAAATAAAACAAAAAAATTAGAATATAGGGATACTTCTTCAACATGACAAAGTATTTCTTAGTTCGAGATCTGATATTATGCTTAATGAAATTCACTAGAAACAATTCCACCAATGTCATGAAAAACACAAGGATGGCCATTGTCACCGCTGTCCCCTAGGATCTATGAACTCTATTGGACACGAGAAAGAATGTAGAGATATATGGAACGGAAGAACGAAAATGATCACTTTTTGCAGATATGCTCTACACTTAGAAAAGCAAAGAGAATAAATTGAAAACTAAACAGTGTAAGAAGGAAGATGGGGAGTTACAGAGAGCAAAAGCATTGGTGTGTACAAACAGCGACTAGAGAGAAAATACAACAAAACTGTCCATTTACAACAGTACCAACAATACAAAGCTAAAGCATCCAGGAACAAACTTAATAATAAATTTTTAATAAGTTTTTAAAAAAGTGTGAGGCATACAAAAGGAAAGAGGGAAAAGCACACCGTGTTCTTAGGTAGGGATACTCCACATTGTAAATACATCACTTCTCCCAAACATCATCTGCACGTGTGGTGTGATCTACACAAAAATACAAATGGCATTATGTTGGGGGTGGGGCAAGCCACTCAGAAGGTGACCAGCCTGATTCTAAACTTTAGGTGAAAGTAAATAGCCAAGAATAACCAGTAAAATTCCGAATGTAATTACACAATGTAATGAGAAGGAAGTAGATGTGCAGTATTGAGCCGTGCTATTAAGAATCCATCGGCACAGATAAATAACTAGAAAGACACATCGGTGGAAAAGAACAGAAAGTCAAGAAATATGCCTAAATACATATGCCAGTTTAGTACATGATAAAGATGGCATAGCGCCTTTCTTGAGTAAGGGGGAAATTTTAATAAATGGGATTAGAATAACCAGGTTGTCATCTGAAAAAAAGAAGAAAATTAAATCTCTATTTCTTTATACCTCACCCCAGAATGAGTCCAGATGGAGCAAAGATTTAAATGCCAAACAAAACAAAAACAGAAAAGATCTAGAAGAGGCCAAGGAAGAAATGTTTATAACCTCAGAGTGGGAAAGACGTTTCTACCTCCGTTGCACAACCCAGGGGTCATAGAAGAAAAAAAATGAAATTTCAAATGATACACACAAAAATTTTCTAACCTGCATGGCAAAAGAGACCCCAAGTGAAGTCAGATGACAGATGACTCACTAGGATAATTACTTGTAATGAGCACCCCACACAGGAGATCATTTTTCTCATATATAAAGAGCTCCTACAGCTCTATTAAAAAAGAACCAATAACCCAGTATTTTAAAAAGCTAAAGGATATGAACAAACATTTCTCGGAAAAGAAAATGTAAATGGGTTTGAAACATAATAAAAGATGTTCAACATATAAAAAGATGATGGGGGGCAGAGCAAGATGGCGGAGGAGTAGGAGACCTAGATTTCGTCTGGTCTCAGGAATTCAGCTGAATAGGGATCAAACCATTCTGAACACCT